CTTTGTAAAGTACCGCTTAGGTATCATTTAAGAATAAATTTTTGAATGTTTTCACACGTTTTCATAAATACACAAATATGCTCAATGCAAATTACAGGTATCGCAAGAAAAATTGTTTTGTCTCTTACATATTTCTTCTCAAATTTAAGAATAAGTAAAAATTTCTATCTGAATATAATTAATATTTACACGTAACGTTTTATCCTATCAGTTCTTGCAAAACTATGCTTTTCTCATCATTTCTACGATCTGACCTTGGATTTCATTTCGATTCGACAAGACGTACGTTTTGCTGTTTACATGCCACGTTTTATTGTATAGGATTTGTCCTATCCAACAAAACGTACAATAAGACGTAGCGTGAAAACGGGCCTTAAAGTCCAAGCAAAATCAAAAAAAGCTAAAATTAGTTCAGCAAGCACTTCTGAATGCTTATTTTCTCTCTTACTTGACCCTTAACTTCATAGAAAATCACCCTCTACTTTTCACTCTAAACTTTGATAAACTTTGATTTTTTCCTTTGCCTTGCTATGCTCCAACATCTAAATTTTGTTCAAAGCCAACAAGCAAGTAAATATTAAAAACATCCCTTGTTGTCTAGTCCTTTCTGACTCTCAGCGCAGTCAAAGCTATGCAAAATGTATACCCTAAACACCCCATTGAGAAAATTATCAAGGCTGAATTAATGAAAGCTCAAGAAGCCAGAAATTTCAGAAGAATCCACTTCCTGTGGATACCATCTCATATAGGCATAGAAGGGAATGAAGAAGCAGATACTAGTGCAGGTAACGCTATCACCAATGACGCATCAGAAACAGAGTGTCGGAGCGTCGCAGGCGATCTAAAAGTTTATATCAAAAATAAGGTGTTAAGTGCGTGGAATCGGGAGTGAAATGACTCTAGTTCGAATCTCTGAACCATCAAAAGTGACATTTTTCATGGAAGTCTACAGCCAGAAGTAGAAGATACCAAACTATTATTACACGTCTACGACTTGGACACTGTAGGTATACTCACGCCTATCTTTTCTCAAATAATGAACCTCCAGAATGCGAAACATGCAATACAGTGGACAGTATAAAGCACTTCTTGATCTTCTTTGGGTGCCGTCTTCAATGAAGGTTGGCGATAACCTCAGCAAAATCATTTCTGTCCCTGGCTTTTCTTATTAAAGATTGAGAATCCAAACCAGTCCACTCACGAATGTTCTTCAACCAGGACGCCTGCCTTCTACCAGTACCACGTTTTCCTTCTACCTTCCCCTCTATAAGAAGCTGCAGTAGCTGGTATTTCTCATTTCTGTATATGTGTCCCAAATATGAGGTTTTCCGTGTTTTCATTATTTTTAAGAGTTCTCTGTCGGTACCCATCTTGTGTAGGACCTGCTCGTTGCTCATATGCGCTGTCCAGGGACTTTCAGCATCCTTCGAAATAACCACATTTCAAAACTTTCCAAACGCCTGAGTGAGTTGATTTTGAAGGTCCAGGCCTCCATTCCATGTAGTAAGGTGCTGTAAACGTAACATTTCAGCATTCGGTATCGGATTTTGAGATTGAGTGTTTGGGACGTAAACATTTGTTTCATTTTTAAAAAGACATTTCTTGCTTGTTCAATTCGCGATTTTATTTCTATGTCTGGATCTATATCTTTCGTTATCCAGCACCCTAGATATCGAAATTTCTCGACATTTTCGATAATGTTACCATTCACGTTTAAAGCCATGGGTGGATGGATGGATGTTTTGGAGACAATCATTGTTTTTGTTTTCTTGACGTTAATGCTGAGGCCGTATTGTTCTCCGATCGATCCGACGCGATCTAAGAGTGTCTGGAGATCCTGTGCGCTCTCTGCAATTAGGACCGTGTCGTCGACGTATCGTACATCATTTACAACTCTGCCGTTAATTTTAACACCTTCTCTTGATTGCTCTAGCGCTCGTGCAAAGATTTCTTCCGAATATATATTGAAAAGTATAATAATAAAAGTAAGTAATACAGCGTTTGGATAATTTTAAAATCGTTCTCGTCTAATCCCTTTTTGTGAAGGCAATCCATCAGCTTATCATGTTTTACTTTGTCGAAGGCCTTTTGATAGTCAATAAAACATAAAAAGAGATCCTTTTTTTGGTCTCGACATTTTTGCAGCAGTATAATAAAACTGGTTAATGCTTCCCGTGTCCCAAATCCATTTCGGAAGCCAAATTGTTCATCACTGATATCCTGTTCACATTTCTTATAAATGCGTTGGTGAATAACTTTCAAGAATAACTTTAACATATGCGACATTTAACTAATAAGTCTGAAATCACCACACTTCTTTGCTCCCTTAGTTTTTGGAAGGGGAATAAAGACTGATTTTAACCAGTCTTGTGGAATTTCACCGCTTGTATATATTTGATTAAATAATTTGACGATTATATTTAAATGTTTCTCTTCCAGTAGCTTTATGACTTCCGTATGTATGTCATCGGGGCCAGGGGCTTTCCCATTTTTTGCGTTTTTGATTGCTCTCTCTACTTCTTGTTTTAATATAGGAGGACTGGTTTCATGGTTTTTATATATTATGTTGTTTAGTGGTATGTCCGAGAATAGTTCTTCTATGTAATATACGTTGTTTAGATCGCTTAATTCCCATATCGTTTTATTCTCGTCGTTTGTTAATCTACAAGAGAGTCTTTGTTTTGTCATTCCAGCTAGATCTTTTATTTTTTGTGAAGCGTTTGACTGTCATGTTTCTTTATTAATTCTTCGATCTCTTGGCAGTTTTCTATCATCCAATTTTCTTTTGCGGTAGCTATTTCTTTCTTGATAGACTGTCCTAAATATGTAAATCAAAGACATGACAAATATGTAAATCAAAGACAGTTTTACAATTTTCCAAATAACCTGAAAGCACTTCTCAACAAAGTTTAGTTCCGGACAATTTATTAGGATACTTAAAATGTATAAATATTACAATGTTACACAAAAGTTAACTTAATTAAGTGTTACAAATGTTCAATTGTTTACAAATTGTAATTAATTATTACAATGATTGATTGTTACAAATGTTAAATTTAATATTATTACAAATGTTACAGGAATGTCGCTAATAACCTTTGGGTGGATGCGACTTTGTCTATTTAAATAAATAAAAAAAATAGAGGTACATAACTCTGTTATTGGTAGATTATTGTAGTTAGTGACCTTTTCCAGCGAAACATACAATCAAATTAAAGTAGTTAGTGGAAAAAGCTGTGTTATGCTATAAATGATATTATTTTTAATACATATTTGATATTTCAGGATTTGATTAAACCCTTTATACATGATATAAGGATACCAGATATGATATTGCCACGCACTAAACTCGTACACTCACGCGCATGACGTCACCTTGTGCTAAATTTTCAAAATGTATTCATGCTTGCGGATGAAACGAACTGTTGAAATTCTAATATAATTTACTAGATGTTTTATTTACTACGTGAATTTAAGCTTAAGTATTTAAATTAGTATATTGTAAAACATAACAATTTTCCCATAAGAGTGAAGTTTGATGGAGGGAGCCATGGTCGAATGCCACAAATTGCAAACTATGGAATATGATTTTCATACAATATATATTTTATATATAGTAGTTAGGTATTATTGACTGACACGATAGGTAAACTATTTCTTTTGAGGTTGCAGTCATTAATAGGGCAGAATAAGTAAAACTCTTTGTTCTTTTATTTAGCTTTCACAAAAATTTATTAGCTTCTTCATGATATGCTAAAATATGGTTATAATTATTTAATCTCCCAACTATATATATATATATATATATATATATATATATATATATATATATATATATATATATATATATATATATATTAATAAAGTATTTAACTAGTGAATTCAGAGGTTAACCGGTCGTTCAGGTTGGCATAATAAAAAACAGAAGTCAACTACTTCATAAGTTTATAGAAGACATTTCGCTTTATACTTCTAAAGCTTCATCAGTTCTAACTCAATATGTAGTATTAAAGATGTTATTATATATGTACTTAAGTTTACTGATTATTTAGAACTAACTTAAAAAAAACAGAAACAAAGGACACAAAAACATTGCAAAAAATAATATCATTCGCAGAAACGAAGATTTAACAAAATTTTAAACGTACATTTGGCTTCATTTATAGATGGTTCTCCAATGAAGACAAACAAAACACTCACCAGTGTTCTGTTTGTCTTCATTGGAGAACCATCTCTAAATGAAGCCAAATGTACGTTTAAAATTTTGTTAAATCTTCGTTTCTGCGAATATTATTTTTTGCAAAGTTTTTGTGTCCTTTGTTTCTGTTTTTTTTTTAAGTTAGTTCTAAATAATCAGTAAACTTAAGTACATATATAATAAAATCTTTAATACTACATATTGAGTTAGAACTGATGAAGCTTTAGAAGTATAAAGCAAAACGTCTTCTATAGACATATAAAGTAGTTGACTTCTGTTTTATATTTTGCCAACCTGAATGACCGATTCATCACTTCAATCACTTTCAACAAAGTGCTTACAGCAAACACGAGCAAATTTAACATTAAAATTATCCTGGCGTTTACACAAATGTTTCCAAACAGCTTGCATTTCCTTGTCTTTTGGAAAGCTATAAAATGCTGTACCGGTTACAAAACTCTTGCACATATTGTCAACGGCACAACCATACACTGCACACCTCATATCGGGAAAAATTTAAAGCCTTGTAACACTTTTAAAATATTATTTTATTAAATATTGGCTATGAACCGTAAATGTACATAAACGTCAAAACACAATATGGCGAAATTTAGCACAAGTTGACGTCACAAAAGTCATGCATAAGCCACGCCCACATGCGCGGTATCTTATCTGTTTGTATTTGTATCATGCCCTTTATAGTTAGTTTTCTCAAAAATTTAGCTTTGTGGCATGTATCGTTGTTGCTCCTAGATCTTCAATGTATAAACATATTATTTCTTTTTAAATTTCTTCTTAATAGTTTCAGGTGCTATAAATGCAATGGAATTCTACTGGGATTTTCTAATTTTATGAAGCATATAGAGAAAGTTCATTCTAAAGATAAGGATATTTATCGCTGTGTCGAGTGTAATTTTGTGGCCTACTGGCATACCCAGTATCTTGACCATAAGAATAAGTTTCATGAACCAAAATCGTTTCATAAATGCATACTTTGTGACGAATTTTGGCCAACCAAAAATCATAATTTACATGAGAAGATGATACATATTAGACACAAATATGCAAGGAATCCATATATGTGTAAGAAATGTAATATTGAATTAGTTGATCGCGAAGAAATATATGATCACTTAAATATACATGGTGATATAGGAATATTTTGCAATTTTTGTGCCTTTTCTTCCGAAAATCTTAGAGACCTTGAACATCACAAAAAAAATAATCATGCTGAAGAAATTAAAAAATATAGTATTTTACAGAAAAGGTATAAAGAAACTATGGAGAACAGTAAGTACTATATTGTTTATTCTTATTATAAACCAAGATAGTCCAGACGTCAGAGAGTTGACCTCTAAAAATTTATATGAACAAGCTGAATTTTGCAAAGAACATTAATTTTGGGACCACAAAAAGATGCAAAAAAGTTTACTACTTTTACCCCTGGGCTTCCCCCTAATATTTTATATTACTTATTATATTATATTATATTATTAATATTACTTCTTCCTCTTCTTCAGCCTTAAGGCCGTTCCGTGCGTTTCTGGGCATAGCTAAGTTCTAATGTAAAAGTTTATATCAAATAACGCAAAAACTATGGCAGATATTGAGGTGATGCTTTTTTTATATGGAAGGTCATAAAAAATTCTAGTGCACTATTTGGTTGTAGATTAATAAATTGTTTAAACAATATTTTTTTTCAAATATTTTTGGTTAAAATAAACGTAATTTTTTTTTTTTTTTAAATAGGCCATTACAGAATTTGATCCACTTTCCGAATCTGTTTTTATTTTTAACATAAAGTGTAACACAAAGCAGCTATTTGGTATAAACTTTTTTAAAAATCTCAAATTTTGCTAAATGTAACTTTCTCTCTTGGCCAGTACAGGCTGTCCTTGTCTATAGTTTCTGGATTCTCGCCGACGGTTAGGTTGGTTAGGTTAAACATTATTAGGGTTTATTTCGACTTTTGACAAACCAGTGCGTTAATTGTTTTTAAAATGGGTAGTTCATGAAGACGTTTATATTCCGATTGAGGAAATTTTATATAAATAAGCAGTAAGTACCTATAATTTGATTAAATTTTTATATGAATAGAAATATTTTCTGTTGATTTGTGGCATTTTCCTTCTAAATGTTTATGCTGTTTTTATAATAATACTATTGTTTTAGTATTTGCTTATATAATAATAATTTATTATGTAGAATTTTGGTCAATCAGCCAGTACATTTTTTTGTATTTCAATCAGAATTATTATTTTCTTTTCTTCTTTACGTAAAAGCTTAGAGTAATACTCAAATATTTTGCAGTATTTGAATGCGGAATTTGATTATTTATATTTATTGGACAATACCCAAATATTTTGCTGTATTTGAATATGAAATTTGATTATTTTTATTTATAATAATATTTGTTTTGAACGTTTTTGTTAATAAAGTTTACATAATATATGAAGTTTGTTTCTTCACTTGGTTGTCCAGCCATATTAGTCCAAGGTAATAAGGATTTTCTCGTGACACTCAATAATCCAGGTAGCTGACAACGTTTTTAGTTATTGTAGACCTATAAGAAGAAAACCTACCTGTTTCCTGCGTAAAGTTCGGAGCCGTTTTTTAATGATTAACAATTTAATGCAAAAAAACGCGATTCTTTCGATTTTTTCACTCTATTATTTATTTATTTATTTATTTTTACGCACAACAGGCCGTTAAGGCCTAGGGCATCTTACAAGCGTCTAGGGCCTAGGGTTCTTACAATCCAGTTAATCGTCCTTTTTATGCAACGTATATTATTTCATTTAGCCATTCTTCTGGTACCAATTCATTTTGCCATATAAGTACTATTACTTTATGGGTTACTGCAAAAAGTTGATTATCACCTTTTTTTATATATTTCCCAACATATTTAATCGATTCCTGTGGCTTTATTGTCTTTGAGTTTTAGGACGGCATTTGACAATTTTATTATTGTTTGGTGTTCACTGTGTAGTTGTCAATGTAGATTTTGTTGATTGTCTATGTTGTAACCTCTTTCAATATCGTGTATATCATATATTATATAAATATATATATATATATATATATATATATATATATATATATATAATATGATATAATAATAATGTACTTATTCTTCTTCTTCAAGCTCCACTCCTATCGGAAATTGGAAATCATTCTGGCAATTATAATTTTGTTGGTTACGCGCCTGAATAGTTCAAAACTGCATCCAAACCATTCACGGATATTGCGTAACCACGAGATTTTACGTCTTCCTACGCTTCTTCTGCCTTTGATTTTACCCTACATATCGATACATTTTTGGCAAAGTAACGTAAGTGACATTTTTGGCGAAAATCATGTTTTTCAATTAAACTAACACTATTGTTGTTAAAAAGGTACTGCCAAAGTGTAGTAAGCCTAGAATTACTTTAAACCTTTTTTAGGACAAGTAGGACAAGTTTTTTTAGTCATAATTTAAATAAGTTTTACCAGGTTGAATTAAAAAATTGTTTTTTCTACAAATCGTGTTTGGTGACTTACGTTACTTTGCCAAAAATGTATCGATATATTCCTTAGTAGTTCGTATTTTTCACCTATCATGATGTGCCCCAAGTATTCCAATTTCCTGATTTTTATGGAATTTAAAACTTCGCATTGTTTTCCTAGTTGTTCGAGAACTTGTTCGTTTGTTTTGGGATCCATCCATGATATTTTCAAAATACGTCGGTAACACCACATTTCGAATGCTTCTAGGTTTTTAATGTTGGATTTTTTAAGTGACCAAGCTTCAATCGCACGTCTTCAAGTCCAAGTGTGAATAGCTTTGGTGAGATAACATTTCCCTGGCGAACTCCTCTGTTGATTGATATAGCTTTGGTTTTCGTATCAATTTGTATTTTCATTGTAGCTTTCAATTTTCCATGAAGCAAACTGCAGTTGAGCTAGTCGTCAACTGAGTATAGATCGGACGACTTGTGTGAACATGTATTTTCACATAACGTTTTATCCTACCCGTTCTCGCAAAACTATGCTTCTCCATAATTTCTGCGATCTGACCTTGGATTTCATTTCGATTCAACAAGATGTATGTTTTGCTGTTTACATGCCACGTTTCAATGTATAGGATTTGTCCTATCCAACAAAACGTACAATAAGATGTAGCGTGAAAACCGGCCTTAAGAAACATCTACACAGTTTTAGAGAACTAAAAAAAAGGTGAATGAAATCGGTAAAGGCGTTCTTTTAAGGTATGGCGTGGCACATGTATTCATTTTTATATAATAGATTAAATTGACAAAAGTATGATTCATTTAACTTCGCATTTGAGTAATTGTTTTATTGTAAAAAAAATGAGAAATCAAACGATTTCTACCTGGCGAAATCGAATTCAAATTTTGACCACCGTGCTTTCTAAAACTTGCAAAGCAAACAGCAAACAGCTTGATAAAGAACTCGACAAGGGAAAGATTGCATTCCACATGTCGTTTATCATGGTCAAAACTCGTAGTGAATTCGATTTCTCGTACTCCAAACGGAGTAAAGAAATAAAATATAAAGACGGTACTACATTTTTGTTTCAATACTGAGTGGCGGCAACCGCTTATACGTATTTCGACCTCTTTAGATCTCGTCAGAGCGGTATAGCCTCCTCTCTGGATCGAAACAAAATCTATTCCTGTCTTAAACAATAGTTATAAAATAACTATGTTATTATTTATGTTTTATTGTAATTTTAGATAATGATGTATTCTGTGAATTATGTAATAGATACTGGCCAAACCGTCATCATAGTCAACATACAAGAACGTTACTAGTTGAAAAGAAAGTAACAAAAGATAATCCATATGAATGTAAGACGTGTCATAAAAAAACCTATAACCCGCGAGAACTTTACAAACATGTGAATCGATATTGTATGTATAAGTTTAAATGTCGATTTTGTTCAAAAATTTTTAAAGCAAAGGCCTTTCTAAATACCCACATTATAAGAGAACATCCAGATAAAGAAGTAGTAGTGGTAAGTTTTATATATCTTCTATTTTAAAAAATAAAGAACATTAGGTACGCTGGGATATCGGATAAAAGTGAAGCTTCTTGTGAATAGTACGTCAAATCCAATTAGTATTTTATATCACTTATTTTCTTTGACAATTAATACCAAAGAACCAAACGCTTTTTTGACATGACCTATCTTTGTTATATATATATATATATATATATATATATATATATATATATATATATATATATATATATATATATATATATATATATATAGTCCCAAGATTCCTAAGAGGAACATAGGGCTTCCACAAAGTGTCTCCAGCGAACTCTATTTCTGGCTAGTGCTTTGATTTCAAGCCAGGATTTTCCCATTTTTCTCCCTTCGTCCAGTACTGTCCTTCTCCAAGTTCCCTTAGGTCTGCCTACTTTCCGTCGGCCTTGGGGATTCCAATCCAGCGCTGTCCTGGCAATGTCATTTGGCGGTCTACGGAGTGTGTGGCCCAGCCATCTCCATTTTCTTCGCCTTATTTGCTTTATGACATTTTCTTGGTTGCTTTGGTTCCATAAATTTTCATTGGACATTCGGTTAGGCCAAAATATACGAAGGATCTTTCGTAACTCTCTATTGATGAAAACTTGTAATTGGTGTACTATGGGTGCTAATATCTTCCACGTTTCGCAGCCATACAGTAATACAGCTTTTACATTTGTGTTGAAGATTTTTAATTTCGTTTTAGTTGGGTAAATCCTGGATTTCCATATGTTGTTAAGCATGTTGTAGGCGTTGCGAACCTTATTTATTCTTTCATGTACATCACGCTCTGTACCCCCATTACAGTCAATTATGCTGCCCAGATATACAAATTCCGCTACTCTCTCAATTTTCTGGTCGTTGATCATAATAGGTTGGTTGTTTCTGGTACCAAATCGCATTTCTTTGGTTTTGTTGATGTTTATTTCTAGACCAACCTTCTTTGATTCTTCTTGTACTTTGTTTACTTGGAGTTGCATGTCCTGTTTTGTATGTGCTAGGAGGCATATATCATCAGCGTAATCTAGGTCTTCCAGTCTGTTTGTTAATCCCCAGTAAATTCCTCTATTAGAGTTTACATTTGTTAGTACGGAGTCCAGTACAATGTTAAATAGTATGGGGGATAAAACATAGCCCTGCTTTACTCCGTTTAGCATAGCTATTGGGTCAGATGTTACGCCGTTGTGTAGGATTTTGCTTTCTGTGTCACTGTAGAGTTCTTTGATGAGATTTACTATTTTTTCTGGTATTCCTATTTCCTGCAGTGCTTTCCATATGGCCGTATGTGTGAGCGTGTCAAAAGCTCTCTTGAAGTCCACAAAGCACACAAAGAGAGGAGAGTTGAATTCCTGTGACTGTTCTACAATTATTCTTAGTGTGTTAATTTGGTCCACGCATGATCTGTTTGGTCTGAAACCGGCTTGTTCCTTCCTCAACATTGGTTCTACACTGTTTGTTAGTCGGTTGTTTATAATTATTGCTGTTAATTTATTTATAGTATTCAGAACTGTGATTCCTCTCCAGTTTTCGCAATATCTTCTGTCACCCTTTTTTGGTATCTTTATTATTAATCCCGTTTTCCATTCTTTGGGGAACTTTTCCTCTCTCCAAGCCCTTTTCAAGAGTGGTTGGATTAGCTCTGCCACTGTACCTGGGCAAGCTTTTAACAACTCTGGTGGAATATTGTCAGGGCCGGCTGCTTTGTGTGCTTTCAGTTTTTCTATGGCCATTTCTATTTCTTGCGTTGTTGGTTCGTTGGTGTTAATTCTCAGTTGGATATTATCTTCACCTGTAGCACTTTTTACAATTGGTTGGTGGGTAGTATATCTTATATTATCTAGTTGTTTAATGATATTATATAATTGTCTCATGTTTTGATGTTCATTGGCGACTCGCGCTTCTTCGGCAAGATTTTCTGCCCACTTTCTTTTGTCTTTCTTTGCTGCCTTCTTGACAGCTTTATTCGCTTCTCTATAACTTTCTCTAAGTCGGTTCTTCTCTGCTGCTGTCTTGTAATTTAGTAATTCTAGATTTATGTGTTTGCGACTTTCTATTTTGTTCCATGTTTCTCTCGCAATCCACTCTTTACGTCTTTCTTTAGACCCAGCACGTTTTCACTTGTTTCCACAAGGGCTTTGCTAATCGTTTCCCAATTTTTGTCCTGTCTTTCGTCGATTTTAAATCTCAGCTGTCGTGCGAATTCTACTTTCGTCTCGTTATTTTGTAGTTTCTCAATGTTGAACTTTTTTCGAATAGGTTTGTTCAGTTCTTTTCTATTCCTAGCTATTTTGAATCTAATTTCGACCATCATCAGGTAGTGATCACTGGCCGCATCTGCGCCTCTTATGTTATATATATGCTTGCTTGATTTTATGCTATGTTAACCCTTCACTGCATGATTTTTTATTTTTCGTTAGAAAAAGTTTAAAGACTGGATTTTCGTTATTTTTATGGGAAAAAATAATTCTAGCAACTGTTTTTTTTTATTTTGGAAACATATAAGCGTTATTTATGAACAACGTTATGCAAATAAGGATATAGGGGTAGGCCAAATCACGGCACGTGTGCCACGATGTGGCACGGCGGTGTCGTAGAAGTGGCAAGCGAGGACTTTTTGGAAAAATAAAAAAAATTAACTCAACCAGGCATCGATTGTCGATGCCTGGTTGACTCAGTTCTCAGTTGATTCTCAACTTTTGTGCGAGACGCTTCAAGTCTCTTTGAAGTTTTTTTTACAGTTTATTTCCTTTTAAAACAATTGTTTTCGAAATGACCACGAGTAAGCCATCAACTTCAAAACGTAAATATGAGGACGATATCGCGATTCGTGAATTTAAAACTGAGTGAGAAGAACAATTCTTATTTATTCACCACAACACTTCCAAGCCTTGCTGTTTGATATGTGGAATTTGTGTGCCAGTGCCAAAAAAATTTAATCTGTAGCGCCATTATAAGCAACTTCATGGCGATTTCACCAACAATTATCCTGTCGGATCACGCCTACGAACCGAATTCATCGCCAAGAAAAAAAATCTTTAGCCGGGCAACAATCTTTGTTCCAAAAAAGAAGTAATGAAATGGAAACAATGGTGAAGACTTCATATGAACTCTCGCTGTTATTAGCACGGAAGAAAAAGCCATATTCCGACGGAGAAGAGGTAATTAAAAATAGTTTACTAAAATGTAATATTCGCTTAAAATGTCGGTGATTCAAACATAAAACATATGGTGGACCAAATCGCTTTGTCCAGAAACGCCGTCATGCGCCGAATTGATGATATGGGCCAGGATGTTGAAACACAAATTATCGCCGGACTACGAGACTGCAAATCTCTACGAGACGCTACTTGAAAACTTTTTAGGAAGAAATGTTTTCAAATCCTATTGTATAATCCACCGAGAAGCGTTATTTGCCAATTACCTCGATCTATCCTCGGTGATTGAGCCTGTATCGCGGCGTATCAATCAAATAGATGCTCGAGCTAGTAATCAACGATGATTCCGAGAACTTTTTCATGAAGAAACGGAGAAGGCAGGTGAATTATTCCTTTATTGCAGTGTTCGATGGTTGTCCAAAGGGAATGCACTGGCAAGATTTTGGAATTTGACAGAGTGTGTTTTGCAATTTTTGGAGGAGAATGAGGAATTGCCAAACGAGTGCTCTCTGTTGAAAAATGAAGACTGGCTATGGGATTTAGCTTTCCTTGCGGACATAATGGGACATTTGAATATATTAAATTTAAGATTACAAGGAGAAGATTGTATTTTTCCATCCTTAGTTAGCCACGTAAGCTCGTTCAAAAACAAACTATCACTTTTTTATTCAGATTTTAATGAAAAAAAACTCACTAATTTTAAATTCATGAAGGAATTAGCCATCAAATTAAATAATGTTCCAAATTACGATAAGTTTAAAAATTTAATGTCAAGTCTTCAAAGCTCATTTATTACGAGATTTCAGGATTTAAAGGAGGAAAATAAAAATATTCAACTTTTCCCAAATCCATTTTCCATTTCACTTAAAGACGTTAAAAATTATCTGCCGGAATTCCAAATGGAAATAATAGATTTGCAAAGTAATATTTGGTTGAAAAGTAAACATAACGAGCTTGTTTCAAGTACAAGTAATTCAAATTATATTGAATTTTGGAAATACGTTTCCACAGCTGATTTTCCATATCTTCATAATTTTGCTTTGCGGTATTGTTGTCGTTTTGGTTCGACGTATGTTTGTGAGGAAATGTTTTCAATTATGAATGTTATTAAATCACAATATCGTTCAAAATTAACCAATAATCATTTAAAAAATCTAATTTTATTAGCTGTAATAAAAATTGACCCCAACATTCAAGATTTAATTAACACATTTAGCGCCACGCTGTAATTGGTTATTCACTCCCTGGGACCAAACATATGAAATGCCTTTTTTTCTATAAATCTATTTTGTAACTGATAATTATTATATTTTAAACCATACTTTCTTTTTCCAACTTTGTTTTTTGTGATTTTTTTAATGCCCACCAGTGGTCACGTAGTCCCAGGATGTAATTTTACAGTGTGGGACCAAATGTCCACCAGTGGTCATGCATTTTATTGTTTCTTTTGTTGCAAATTTTAAACAATAATGGCAAGAAGAGGTCTTACAGAAGAAGAATTGCTTCGGGAGTTGGAAAATTTGTCTGATGTTGAAGCAGAAGACTATTCCGACGACGACTCCACTGCAGATCGGAATTACTCATATGAAGGAAGCTCCTATTCAAGTGAGGATAAATTAGGTGTATCTGATGTCGAGGACGAAGCTGCTGAAGTTGTTCCTCTGGCCGATATTATACCCGAGACCAAGTGGGAGCCTGTGGCAGGAGACAGATTGAAATTTAATTTTCTTGCTGCTCACACCGGTGTACACGAAAATATAATCCAGAAACTTCGTGGTGCATCTCCTATAACTTATTTTGAACACTTCATAGACGATGAGATTATCT